TCACTAATTCATTTCCAGAAGACTGTCCTTTCTTGAGTAAAAACACCCATTAGAGGCCAGGCATAGTGGCTCACACCTGTAATCCCAGCACTTTGGGAGGCTGAGGTGGGCAGATCACCTGAGGTCAGGAGTTCAAGACCAGCCTGGCCAACATGGTGAAACCCCGTTTCTACTAAAAATACAAAATTAGCCGGGCATGGTGGTGCGTGCCTGTAACCCCAGCTACTCGGGAGGCTGAGGCAGGAGAAACACTTGAACCTGGGAGGCAGAGTTTGCAGTGAGCTGAGATCGCACCATTGCACTCCAGCCTGGGCAAAAAGAGTGAAACTCCATCTCAAAAAACAAAAAACAAAACAACACCAACAAAAAAAAAAAGATAAAAAAGACATGGTCTCTGTACTCACAAAACTTACTATCTAACACAGGAGACAAGTAGCAACTGGCTCTAAACAATATTTAGAGGTAATATATGCCTTAAAAGAGATTCAGACAAAGTACCCAGAAATTCAAAGAAGGAACAGATTGAGGACTGGAGAAATTTAACAAAGATGGCTCTGAAGGGATTACTGATATACCACTTATTTCAAGGCCTCAGTTGGTTATGACATAGGATGCTACTAAAACAACTACAGGGGCTAAAATGGCTTGTCAAAAATTACTGAAATATCAGAGGACTTCAGTGTTTATTCATTCAACTTTTGAATTATTCATGCTCTGGTCATCATAAACTGATCATTCCACACACACACTGAAAAAAATTCAGCCAGGCGCAGTGGCTCACACCTGTAATCCCAGCACTTTGGGAGGCCAAGGCAGGGGGATCACCTGAAGTCAGGAGTTCCAGGCCAGCCTGACCAACATGGTGAAACCTGGTCTCTACTAAAAATACAAAAATTAGCCAAGCGTGGCGGCGGGTGCCTGTAATCCCAACTACTTGGGAGGCTGAAGCAGGATAATTGCTTGAACCTGGGAAGTGGAGGTTGCAGTGAGCCAAGATCGCACCATTGCACTCCCTGTCTCTTATACACATCTAGATGTGTATAAGATAGTGCCATTGCACTCTAGCCTGGGCAACAAGAGCAAAACTCCACCTCAAAAAAAAAAAAAAAAGAGTTCTACCTTTCTCAAATGGAGTATGGGAGAAACAATTCCATCTGAAGAGTTAATACTCTAGGAAAAAACTTGGACAGAGCTTTTAGAATCTGACGGCCAGAGATGACTGGATTTCTGCCACAACTATAAGGCTTATAATAATTACAGGATTTGGCTGAGTTTTCACCTCCTTTTAGCCTACTCTACAGGAATCACTGGCAAATACTGATTTGGTAACAGAAACAACCTGCCTTACCAAATTAAGTTTTTAACAACACAGATGCAAAACAGTCCAATTAATATTACTATACTGACCAACTTTCTTTTTCAGGGTTGGAGGGGAACTGGCGTGATTATTTTTGTTGGTTGAAGACAGACTGTCTCTTATTTAAGTGATTCACTATATTATCAAGGAGATACCAGAAAACTATTTTTAAATATCATTTTGAGTAAAAAGTCATTTCGACTCAATCTTTAAAAACAACATTACTACTGCTCAGCATGAACTCTTACAGCCATACAATTAACATCACAGTGTTAAAGGGAAATCAGCCACATTGTGCCAACATCTGAAATGCCCCATGGAACTCCTTTATACAAGTACCTACATTAAAAATGTTTTATTCCTGGGCTCAGTGTGGTGGTTCACGCCTGTAATCCCAGCACTTTGGGAGGCCAAGGCAGGTGGATCATTTGAGGTCAAGAGTTTAAGACCAGCCTGACCAACATGGTGAAACCCTGTCCCTACTAAAAATACAAAAATTAGCCACCCGTGGTGGTGACGCCTGTAATCCCAGCTACTTGGCAGGCTGAAGCAGGAGAATCGCTTGAACCTGGGAGGTGGAAGTTGTAGTGAACCAAGATCATGTTATTGCACTCCAGCCTGGGCAACGGAGCGAGACTGTGTCTCAAAAAAAAAAATGCTTTATTCCTGTTTTACTGAAATCCTTTGATCAACCTTTTATGATCTGGTTGCCTCACTTAACTTGAACAAATGGTGACAAATGGCAAATATTCTCTTATTTGATTAACTGGTTAAACATTCATATCCTGAGCCAGACTGCCTGGGTTCAAAAAAGGATCTGTCACTGTGACCTCATTAAACTTTCCGTACCTCAGATATCTCACCTGCAAAATGTTATTAATCATAGTATCTAATTTCATTTGGTTATTGAAAAGATTAAATGAATAAACACATCGGTAAATGCACTTAGAATAATATGTTAGTTCAAAAAGTTATGGTTGTTATTTTCTAGTACTGGTTAATTACTTTCTGGCCATGAGGCAATTAAGATACTCAGGGAGCCCTGAAGATGACACTAGACAATATTTATGCAGATGGTGGCCACTCTGTTTTTTACCTGCAGGCCATAAACAGTGGGTAGAGGAAAACCAAAAGAGCATCACATTCAATCTTATAAGCAGAACACGGCAGAAGTTAAGGTCCACGTCTCCATTGCCACTACCCTTGCAAATGAGATTAGGAAGAACAGTTCTCTCCAAGAAGTAGCACTTAGTTAGACTGCTCAATACCTTAAGAGTAAGTAAAAGCACCTCTAAAGGACTGCAAAAAACCAATGGGACTGACCATAGATACGGCATGCTCAATAAGGAGAAATATAGATATGGCTATGTAGTTTCATTTTGGAATTCTAAAATCATCTGTAAAATACCTTATTGGAACTTTAAGGGTTGAGCATTCTCCATGATCTGTAAATCTACCTCATACCCATGCTTGTTCAACACTAATAAATTCCCATTACAAGAAGTTTAAAATATACGAGTATTTCTAATTTGGGGCAAAGGTGACATAAGACTACCTTCAGGCTATGAATTAGATGATGCACAGGAGGAATAAAGAAGAAAAATGGCTACTTACTTCATATTTATACTTCTCACCAGCTTTAGCCTTTTTCAGTCTTTCTAGAGCTTCTTGGCGCCCCTTCTTTGATTTTTTTTCTCGCCGGGCTCGAGAAGCTACAAAACTCCCTGAATCTGACACAGCGGGGAAAAAGAAAAAATTTACAAGAGATGTTACAAAATTGTCAGCCATCTTCCCTCAAACACCAAGGAAAAGTTTCTAGCCAACAATAACATACAATTTTAGTAATAAACAAGTAGATAATGTTTACAATGTAAATAATTCACAAAGCTCATGGCCAAACATACATATCCAAATATACATGACTCGCCAGAAAGTTCCTCTAAGATCCTGTTAAAACAAAGCCACTGTTATTTTTTTCTCCAAAAAGAGGAAAACTCCCAATTCAACTGATATCCTGCAGAGACACTAAACAAGGGAGATCAGCTGTTAGCTAATTTATCACCTTTTCATTAGAAATGACCAGTCAGAAGTAATCCAGTGGGTTATAGAAGCACTATTCATTTTGTATTCTATTCTAAAAGGCTTCAAGGAGCATCTACTCTTTGCAAAGTACTAGGCCCTATGAGACACAAAGACAGGCTGGGCGTGGTGGCTCACACCTGTAATCCCAGCACTTTGGGAGGCTGAGGTGGGCAGATCACCTGAGGTCAGGAGTTCAAGACCAGCCTGGCCAACATGGTGAAACCCCGTTTCTACTAAAAATACAAAATTAGCCGGGCATGGTGGTGCGTGCCTGTAACCCCAGCTACTCGGGAGGCTGAGGCAGGAGAAACACTTGAACCTGGGAGGCAGAGTTTGCAGTGAGCTGAGATCGCACCATTGCACTCCAGCCTGGGCAAAAAGAGTGAAACTCCATCTCAAAAAACAAAAAACAAAACAACACCAACAAAAAAAAAAGATAAAAAAGACATGGTCTCTGTACTCACAAAACTTACTATCTAACACAGGAGACAAGTAGCAACTGGCTCTAAACAATATTTAGAGGTAATATATGCCTTAAAAGAGATTCAGACAAAGTACCCAGAAATTCAAAGAAGGAACAGATTGAGGACTGGAGAAATTTAACAAAGATGGCTCTGAAGGGATTACTGATATACCACTTATTTCAAGGCCTCAGTTGGTTATGACATAGGATGCTACTAAAACAACTACAGGGGCTAAAATGGCTTGTCAAAAATTACTGAAATATCAGAGGACTTCAGTGTTTATTCATTCAACTTTTGAATTATTCATGCTCTGGTCATCATAAACTGATCATTCCACACACACACTGAAAAAAATTCAGCCAGGCGCAGTGGCTCACACCTGTAATCCCAGCACTTTGGGAGGCTGAGGTGGGTGGATCACCTGAGTGATGTCAGGAGTTTGAGACCAGCCTGACCAACATGGTGAAACCCCATCTCTACTAAAAATACAAAAATTAGCTGGGCGTGGTGGCAGGCACCTGTAATCCCAACTACTTAGGAGGGTGAGGCAGGAGAATCCCTTAAACCCAGGAGGTGGAGGTTGCAGTGAGCCAAGGGTGCACCACTGCACTCCAGCCTGGGTGACAGAGCAAGACTCCGTCTCAAAAAAAAAGAAAAAAAAAATCATCCACCGAATTAAAGACTTTCACATACCCACTGATGAATAACTAAGTCAAGCATAACAGTGCTGCCTGTCAACCATGAGTTTAGGCTCAGCACGATTGCCATCTGTGTCTGTGAAATTTAGTATTTTATTGTGTTTGGTGCTAATTAATTTATAAAAGGAGCAGGCAAAGAAAAGGAGAAGTATGGATAAGAGGCAGCCTAAAACTCCAACCCCACCAGAACGTTCATAACAACATTAAGCTGCTTGACTAAATGTTTGACTGAAATAGAAGATACAATTTAAAGAACATGCACCAAATGCTGGCAATAAACTGCTGGAGACGATAGCTTAAAGGTGAAGCATAATTAGAGATCTTATTTTTTCTAGCTTTCTAGAAATGGAATCTCTCTTTATAACATCTCACTCTATTGTGTGACTTCCACATTTGACTTTTAAATCCATTTTCAGAAAGACATTAAGTAAAAATTAAGGAATAAAGGTACTTAATGATGACAGTCACAAAAACTTGGATGTCACTCAAATGATTTCAAAAATCATGAACAGGCCTATATGAAAAGGCTTCGAAGATTACTGAACATGACCCCTGAAAGTGAAAAGCTGGCCTCAGTGTATTCAAGACTCCCTTGAGGCCTGACATCTGTAGGTCTTCAAATGCACTTACTCCACAGGCAACAATGTTCCACTACACAAGCAACAATGTTCCACTACACAGGCAACGCCCCACTACTACACAGGCAACAATGTTCCACTACACCGGGGTTAGGGTACAATTACAAATAACACAGAGCTGCCTGTCCAAAAGAGGCCCGCAGTCAAGTAAAGCAAAGTACCTGAAATTACCATCACAATATAAACATGGTGCCATAGAAAAGGTAAGAACTCAGTGCTGAGGAAATATACAAAGGAGAGCTGTTAATTTTGCCTGAGAAATCAAGGAAGGTTTCACAGGAGAGGTTTCCAATACAGGCCTAGAAAAAGGAGTTGAATTTCACAATCAGAAAACAAGGTAAAAAGTGGCACAAGCAAAAGAAGAGGCATGAGCCAAATCACACAAAGGGATGAAAACGTACAGTGTATTCAGAAACTGAGAGAAGTCAGTGTGCAAGGTAAATTCGACAAGAGAGTGTAGAGTGAGTAGGAGAACCAGATTGGGGAGAAGCAGCACATTCCAGCTCTGCCATTTGCTGGGTGACATGAGAACACCGGTTAACCAGTTAAGCAGCAGACAGGTGTCTTGTTGTTTTAAGCTGCCTAGCATCTGAAACTGTGAAATCCGGCCCCCATCCCTTATAAGTCTTGGTGAGACAACAGAGCCTATGTCCCATTACAGAAGCTGAAAAGGTTGATGCTCTTTTCCAGGGACCCTTGCAGCCTAGGGCATGGGCATATAAAATAGGCTCTATTAGGAACACCTGCTCAGACATTAAATCAGAAGCTAGTGTCACAAGGAAAGGGGCATGGGTTTTAAAAGATTCTACAAGTAGCAACAGCTGCAGGAGGATTACAAAACTGACAATAATGTCAGCAATGTCCTAAGGTATGAGCTATAGCATCAAGTACTTGGTCGTGGTTGGCAATGACCTCCTCATTAGACCATTTTTGAGGCACAATTTCACTCACTGTTCCTATCTAAATAGCTCCCAGACTGGCTTCTTAGTCCTCCTGGAGTTTCTGTGAACACGATATTCTTCTAACAAATTCTAACCAATCTGCTAGAGTTGGTTCCTGCAGCTTACAAATAAGGGCTCCGACTGATGTAGAGCCTCAGGGTTCACATATGTGAAATGGGGATAATCATGTCTGCTTCAAAAGCTGTTAAGGATTACATGAGGATGCCTATCTTACTTTGCACTTAGCAATATAGGAGCGGCTCATGTAATGTTTCTGTGTGAAGTCAAACACACATCCACATACCCCACACACACCACACCTAAGAGTACCAAGGTCTAGCTTCAGAAGGCAAAAATAAAGCAAAGCCGTTTTCTGCATATGACGTTTACCATCTGTACTTCATGAAGACAAACCATGTCCAGCCTACCTACCATCATAATGCCGGAGCCTGGCAGAAGGCTTATACCTAGTAGGTATGTAATAAATATTTGCTGAATGAACCAACGAATGAACCACTGTGCCTGCTTTTTTGATCATTAAACTTTCCCTGGCCAGACACAGTGGCTCACGCCTGTAATCCCAGCACTTTGGGAGGCCAAGGTGGGTGAATCACCTGAGGTCAGGAGTTCCAGACCAGCCTGGCCAACATGGTGAAACCCTGTTTCTACTAAAAATACAAAAAAATTAGCCAGTGTGGTGGCCGGCACCTGTAATCCCAGCTACTCGGGAGGCTGAGGCAGGAGAATTGCTTGAACCCGGGAGGCAGAGGTTGCAGCTAGCTGAGATCGCATCACTGCACTCCAGCCTGGGCAACAAGAGGGAAACTTCGTCTCAAAAAAAAAAAAAAAAAAAAAAATTTCCCTGATATTTTCTCACATATAGTAACAGCCAGTTATATACCCTTCAACTTTTCACTGCCATTAACAAGGTGCCCTGCCTTCTAACACTGAAGAAAAAAAACAAAGCCTACATTTTCTCTTTTGGAGTGTGTCTCCAATGCTTCACGTAGGTAAGTTAGCAAAAAAAGAATAAGCATGAAAAAATCCAGTTACAAAGGTTTAAATATTTGTTTCAAAATTACCATCTGGAGTACCTCTATCCTCCCCAAAAGCAGACAGATACTAGCTTACAGCAGTCTTTCAGGTAACAATCTTTCAGTCTGCTCTAAAGGAAAAATTCCACTCACAAGTCCCCAGCAACTACTTAATCAACACCATGAGTTAAGAGGAGTCTCAAATTGCACAGTATCCACCAAAGTGATTTCCCGATGTTCATAGATGACGTAGTTTTTAGGGTGAAGAAAGGGCTGAGTGGCAAATCACTGATACAGGGCTGCAAAGACTGTTCACATACTCACACCCTACATCCCATCTGTAATCCAGGCAGGTCGACTCTCCAAAATAGTCTTAAAAAACGAACGGCTAGAACAAATTGAAATCTGTGACTCACAACTAGGTGAATGCAAAGGAAGCTGATTAGGAAGCGAGTTCTCATTAATGGTGAGGTATCTGAATGACAGGAGAGGTGAAGGTTGAGCTAACAGTGAAGCATCTGATTTTAAGTTAGAAGTTTACTGAAGTCACGCTTTAGTTGAACACCGCTCAAAACTCAGACAAATCTATTTGCATTTTTGTATTCTACTTTTGGAAATAAAAGATACCCCTGACAAACGGAGTGATATACAGGGGATTTGAAATGCCCTGAACTGATGCCATTTTTTTTTGAAACTTCACCAGGAATGATTAGATTGTGAACACGATTTCTACGCAGCACTTGAAGAACTTTCCAAAGAATCTGAAAGAAAAATTGTTAATGCATAAAGTAGAAACCCATTACCTAAAAATACAAAACGCTTTATTCCCAGATGACAGCACTTAGAGCTTTCTTCCCGCTTAGTTACAATGTATAAAATTTTCCTGGAAGTTCCTACAAAAAGGGGCACAGATCTGTTCTGTTCAAGCCCT